AGGCCAATGAAACTTTAAATGGACTCAAAGTTTGAAATTAAAAATCAATAAACATCAATAATCTCAGTGTTCGCAAAAAGGAGGGGAAGAGTAGATGAGACTGGGCTTGGGACACAAGTCCCTCATTTCTAGGACTGAAGTTATTGAGGAACAACACATGGTGCATGATCTATCATCCAAACAACTGACGAGGAAAGAATGTAAGACGTCAAAAAAGGAAACAGACTTCAAGATGACAAACGTTAAGTCAGTCAACTTTACTGTGCACATCGTAGGCTGCCAATGCAGATCAGTGCCACAATTTAAAACAAACACGCAGTTTGTAAGAAGAGACCTCATTGTTAACGCCAGACAACCTCACTAAGATTATTTCGCCTGCTGACTCATCAGAAGAGATAAAAAGGCAAACTTCGGACGATAACTTTGTATTACTGCCCGAAGGCAGTGCATGAAATGCAGTAATGAACCGAACCGACCAATAAAAAACGGATGAAGTTGATTTTATAGAGGAGGTGGCCTTACCTAAAACTACGCCCATGATGAAATCTCCTCTAAACCGACTCAGCAACAGTTCCACTCGGTCTCCTGGTTCCTCTGTGTCTTGTTATGGCCATCGGCATGATGTCCCCCTCTACTTCCATGAAGGTTAGATATTCGTTTGCCTAACTATAACACCAGCATTAAAGTAATTCTAAACCGTGAATCGACATTTAACTCTCACCCCAACCTAAACCCTAATACTAAACTAAGTAATAATCCTGAACTTGACCCTCACCCGGCAACAGTAACTTATGTAGGCCCACCCAGTAATCACTACTCTCTGCATATTTTCCTACGAAAACGGTGATTATAGGGTTTATGGGTGGAGAATTAGGACTCGCAGTGGAATATACTTTAATAAATGCTAAATGCGTTTTTTTTTACTGTATTTAGAAGTGTTGGCGATTTATATCTGCATATTTTCCTAATCTGTATTATCGTTTAACTTATTGTGGAAAAAACCAATTATAAAATCGCAGGTTTCTTGAATTTCCCGAAAAATTGAAATGGTGGTAAGGAGGTCATCTACTTCAAGTTACCTGGGCCCAACTTACCGTTCTAGAGTTAGATTAGTATAGTCTGCGGCGCGAAGCGCGGCGCACACCTTCAATTTACATGCGGAACAACTTACTCCCAGCGAAGCAACTTCAACTATATTTTTTTTCACTTTACAGTTCTAAAAATTTCCTTCTCTGTCTATCCTATTTCCCCACCCCTCAAAATTCTATAACCACAGTTTTTGCAGGACAAAATGCTGGGATTAGGGGTATATGAGTGGGCCTACATAAGCTACTTTTGCCTGTCATCCTAATCTTTATCATAACCGTAACCCTGCCTTTGAAACCTAACCTAATTTATCTGGAGTTTGGCACAGGGCTACCTACATTGCGGGTGCTTTCTGCGTGCATGTCCTACTTAGCGGGACAATTTAAGTACCTTAAAAAATACTCAAAATATTCTTAATTCCACTTTATCTACATTAGGAAAGAGTAATGGCGATTGCCCCTCCTCGGTACGACTAACAGGAACCAGAGTCCAAACTGTCACAGAAATCACTCAGTGGTGCACAAGCGCTACTGCTTAAGAGATTTTGAAAGAGTGAAAGCAATCGAAAACCTAGTCACTCAGCGACCAGTCCAGACAGAATGCCTATCCCAAGTTTTCGTAAACCGGCGCCTGTATACCAGCTTAAGGGCGACTGAACTCCGAAACCCCTTAAGGGTTGGTTATTCAACGCTGTGCATCAGGAATTTTTCCGAGGCGACAAGGGCGTGGTGATTAAGGACTAGGTTTCGGTGTTTATAATTGACCCACCGTAATTCTGAGCAGTCAAATTTAACCTGCCAATGACCGACTAAAGCCCCATGAGCTAAAGTTGCTTTCTAATGGGATGAGGCAGAATAAACTAGAGCTACAGGAACAACTGAATTAACACGATCTAGAGGTGCAGGGCAAGGATACCGGTCATCTTACATGTGAATAATATACCGGAGCGAGAACACGAAAGATCGGACGCTAAACTATGCCTGGACCCCTGATAGAGATCCACCGAGTCGCCACATATATGTTCCGCCCGAATATTCAGCTTCGCTATCCTGCAAGCAAATACCATAGTTGGAAAACTGATTTGCTGACGGGAGCTGCAAATGCTGTCAATTCCCCTTTGCCTTCCTTTTTTCTGGTTATGTAGTCTTGAACTAGACCGACATCTTGGAGGAGTAAAATCTCCTTCTAGGCAGTCGACATTTTTTCATCGTCTTTTGCAAAAAAATCATATTTAATTGCAATTTCGGATTGTCCACTACAGCGAACGAATTTTTCCCATCGTCCCAAAATTCTGCTGAAAACCCCTTTCATACAGTGTGCATACATTACTATCCCTTCCAGACCCACAGTATTTTTCCCACCAGTAACTAAGCTTAAGTGAATTTTCGGCGCGATGCACAGCACTTCGGAATGAAGTCAGCAGTTCATAACATTTGAATCTCGACATTGCCACGCCTCTATGACAAATCCATCCCACCTCCCGTCTGCATTCGGAGCCTGTCTATGCATGAATGTGTGCGGTAGGTTTGGGCATGATTGAGTGTTGCCAACGAAGCGCGTCCTTCCAGTCCGAGGCGCCAGAATAAATTTCAATTGAAGCCTGCATATACGAGAGGGTAGTTTCGCCGTGGCTTACAAATGCATGGTAATCCGACACACACGGCAAGACAAAAGTCGTAGAGCGTGGGCCGGAACAAGAACAGGGAGGGAACAGTTGTTTTGGGATGACTGTAGCCCTGATAGCAAGCATTCCTTCCGACTCACACCATTCGAATTTTATTGCAACACGGGATAGGCGAGGTAGAGGAGGAGGAGGATGGCTGGAGGAAGCATCAACCAACAACGGTCCAAAACACCGCGACCAGAGAAGCGCAGCCGAAAACAAGCACATGCAGGCCATAGAGGCTGAAATTCGACGCAGTAGCTCCCCCCCTCCCCCTTTATGTGCACTTCCCTTTAACATAAGAAGCAATTAGTCTAACGTCATTCGCACATACCCCTCAGTCTGCTTCAGTTAGATGGATACAACGTCGCTGCTGATAACACCCAACTTTACCATTTAGTCCAGCGAGTGAAACTGTGATTTTCCGACCGAAAGTAATATTCGTAGACCACGCCCTAGTCCATCTAAAAGTACGGCATGAAAACGGTAAGGCGATTCGTGGTGACCACAGCAGATATTCCCTCCACTGTCAATAGAAGAAGAAGACGCGATTATTGGAAGATGGATCTTATTTTCCTGACGTTTCGCATTCCGTTGAGGGTCCTAAATCACGCAATTTCTGCATGCATCACACCATTCTACGGTCACCTATAATAAAGGGTTCACGAGAGAATCCAAAATTTCAGGAAAATAAGATTCTTCTTCCAGTAATCGCATCTTCTTCTTCTGAATTCCTACCACTTTTGATGTAACGGCAGTCCAGATAAAGAGGATCCTGTGTCCATTATGCCTTCGGGGTGTTATTTAGAGATGATTCTAATAAATCTTACACTTTATTTTAACTAAGATGAGTTTACTCAGTCGAACCACAGGAAGGGTAAGAAATGGTCTCCGATGGTGAATAGCTTGACCAGAAGATTTCAAGTGACGGTACTGCTTTACGGGAGCAAGGAAAAAATCTTTGGAGTTTAATGACCAATTTTAGCCGCAGTAGATAACAGTTAGCAAAGAGGTCATTTCTAGCAAGTAGAAGGAAGCGTCACTGCCATTTAATAAGGTGAAGAGAAAGCTCTGGAGATCTAGATTTAGCCAGGTTATCTCAGACAGCATTGAAAAGAAAAAGCTCAATAGAAGTTCAGTATGAATTGTAGAATCCATCGTGCGCTAGTAAGGTAGAAGGAACCCATGTACAATGTCAACGGTCGTCGTTATGCCTCGGAGATATCATAGGGAACCGAGATGAATTTTTAATCACTATTGTACAAACAGCTAACTGTCAGTTTCTACTTCGTAAGATAACACAATACTGTCGATAAATGTGTATAACGCGAGTTGCAGAAAGCATGTTAGAAGATGCGATCGTCGGAACAAGAAGCGTACCGGCCTTCCGTTTCGGATTCTCACTCTGACCTGCCATCGGGGACAGTCGTCGTTAAGAGTGGGAATCTGAGACTTCAGACTAGTAAACTTCTTGCTCCAGTTACATTCTGTACGGTTTACGTAAAACATTAAGTCAGTTTGCTTCTGTTTCCGGTACTGATTCCTCCGCATAGCAGTTTTGCACGAGACAAGGTCATAAAAATGCTTTTTAAAAGCAGGCTGGATAGCAGTTCAGCCTTCACCTGGCATGGGCTACATATGGGATTACACGCTTTTTTATTTTCCAAAAGTTAATTCAAATAATTGCATTTTTTGCCTCCAGTGCCCCCTGAGGATAAGTATCACGTGCAAACAGTCGGGTGAATGATGGCATTGGCAGCTCGCTCCTCCCATAGATATTTTTAAGCAATACAGAGTGGCGATCGCATATCGCCCCCACCCCCTCGTGACAGCCTTTCAGGCCGTGCAAATGACAGTAATTATCACTCCACGTGCTTGACCCATGATCAACGCTCACAATCTAGCCTAATTTCCTACCCTCCCCTAGCCGATCTCGCCATGTGGGCGGCGTGAAAACGATAAATTGTAATCAAGGGGCCCCATTAACCCTGTTCAACTGTATGATTTTCATTATCCCTGCCCGGCCTGATGACGAATTGCTGAAAACATCCGTTTGCCGCATAAAATTCCGGCAGGAGTTTCCTTCGTAGTGGCGGAATAAAACTCCACATTTCCAGCTTTGTCGACAGCGATTCGAGCTTGATTCGGGTTAAGGGTTAGGATTAGGGTTATGGTTAGGGTTAGAGGTTGGGGTTAGGTTTAGGCTTAGGTAAGTTTTAGGGTAGGGGTTAGGGTTAGGTTAAGGCTAGGGATAGGGTAAGGGTTATGATTAGGTTGAGGGTGGGGTTGTGATATCGTATCTAAAAAGCCCGAAGTTTCTGCTTAATATTACAAGAAGTCTTCAAAAATTCCA